TTTAGAAGCTTGCAGGCTCAGCCCACATCTGCTGTGAAGTCCTTCAGCTGTGGCAGGCTGGGACGATGGCACGAATGGACCTCCAGGAAGTCCTTGAGAGCGCTGGCCAGCAACTAGCGCTGACAAGCAGACCTGTGTGAGCCCAGTGGTATCGACCAGGGCCAGGCAGAGTCTCGAGTCCTCTTGCTGATGGGGATCAATTCAGAGGCTAGCTGACCATTTCCAAAGTTCCAAGTTTTGCATCATTTCATTGGGTGGTAGCTTTGATTTATCACGGTTCACAGCTTGGAGCTGGTTCCCTAGCCTATCAAGGCTTGTCCTGGGCCAGGTTCAGTTGAGCTGCTCAGTGGTCTCGCTTGAGGACCAGCTCTTATCAGCTTGCCTAGTGGCAAGCTCGGGCATCATGTTATCTCAAGTTACATAAAACGGGGTTTAAGTTACACAATGGTTTTTGAGTTACACAAAATGGTTTCTTAAGTTCCATGTTCCTAACAATGATCCACTTGGACCTTACAGGCCATCATCAAGGGGATCCAAAGCAGGAACTGAAGGCAAGAACCTAGAGGCAGGAACTGAAGTAGAGACCATGGAGGAACGCTGCTTACTGGATTACACTCCATGGCTTACACAGCCTGCTTTCTTGTACAACCCAGGACTACCTGCCCAAGGATGGTACCACCCACAGGGGGGTGTGCCCTCCTACATCAATCATTAATAGAAATATCCTACAGTCTTGCCTACAGGCCAATCTGATGGAGGCAATTCCTCGACGGAGGGTCCCTCTTCCAAACTGACTCTAGTCTGTGTCAAGGTGACAGAAACTAACCAACACAGAATTTATTTTGGGGGATGTATTAGTCGGCAGTCGGTCACTAGAACAAATACCTGAGGCAACCAACTTATAAAGAGCAAAGGTTCTTTGGCTCATGGTTCTGAAGGTTTCTACCTAGAAGCAGTTAGCCTCATCGTTCTGGAGAGGCAATTCATCATGGAAGGAGTGTGAGCCGAGCATAGTCACACCTCCTGGCTGGAAGTGGGAAGAGAGGGGAAGTAGAAGGATGAGGGTGAGGGGCTGCGTGTCCTCAGGAGGAAGCACAAAAGTTAGAGTGTGGACAACAGCTTTAATTCAGCTCTCCGGCATGCTCTGAGGGTCTGTCCCGCATCCTGTGAACCGAACTGTACCTGGGAAAAACCAAGGTGTCATGCTGGAGCGGTGTGGAAGGAAGCTCCTGGCGTCCTCTTGATCCAGATGCAGGTACCGCTGGAAGCCTGGCATAGCCGTAGCCGGAAGGGAGTACGTCTAGAGAGAACCTCTGAGCGAGGTTGGGGGACTCAGTTTACAGCAGAAAGGAGATGCCAACCCAGATGCTGAACATGGATCTCCAAGCACTGTTCTCTGCCAATCAGAGACCTGACCTGGCCACTGGAAACTTAAGCACTCTTTGTTTCCACCCAGAAGCTCCCAGTGACTCAATGGGGAATAATATAAATCACACCATTGTGATTCAGCCTTTCTTGCCACAGGAAGGTAGAGTGTTAAGGAAGAGATACTTTGCTTTGGAAACAAAACCCACAATCAACCCCCTAAGAAAATGATCTGGGCCAGGAGGAAGACGAGGAGGGAGCCCTGTGGTTTGGAGGCTGGGTGTGGTCTAGAATGTTCCAGTTAAATGGTCCTTTGCGGCCAGAGGGACAGGTGAGGTCAGAGTGAGCCTTTTCTTAGTCTGCTCCTCCCTGGAAATGACTCTGTCCCTCCGGACTCCTTCCGTCTTGAGGCTTTGTTTCAGCCGGGAGTACTTTTGAAATGGCATCTTCCAAAGTGGAGAGAGGATTGGGTTTTATGTAGGACTCGAGGGCCTGCAGGTTATGAGAACTACAGAAGCAGGAGAGAAACTGGGGGGTGGGGGGTAGAAAAGGGAGGAGAAAAGGAAAAGGAGAGAAAGCAGGACAAGGAGGAGGAGTGAGAAGAAGAGGAGGAAAGCGGAGTGGAGAGGAGGGGAGGGGAGAGGAGGCAGAGGAGGCATTTCTAGCCTGAAGAGGGAAGCTGTGCAGTCTTATCACACTGACTGCTAAGCCCAGGGATCCAGTGACAGGGAAAGGGGGGGGGTGTGCCCTGGGGGGTGTAGGACAATGGCTCAGTTGTTGGTGTGTAAGACACACCCTCTTTGCCCTCGTCATTTCTTACTGCGAGCCAGAATCCACCCTCAGATGTACCACGCTGTCATTAACAAGAGCCCAGCACATAGTGAAAAAGCAAGGCATGCCCTGGGCTTTTCCAAGGACCAGTTCCTCTTCTCAACCCTTGGCAGGGAAGGTTGTTCATGTGTCTGAGTTTTAAAAACTTAGACGCTCTCACCCACCTTGGCCATCTTTCTGCCCACTGCTGGATTATCCTTAAGAAGATGGTTTATAAAATCTGTGTCCCTGGTTAGCTGTTCTCTTTCTTCCTTCCTGTGCTCAGAAATTAAAGAAAAAAACAGAGCGCTGTCATCTGTATTTGGAGGACTTCTGTGGCTGGCAGATGATACGCCAGGCAACTGGTCCCACAGCAGAACAAGACCATCCCATGATGAGGCCTCAGCTACCTGACGGGTCAAGCCAATCCAGAAAACAAGGTTGGAAGTCACTTAAGCAGGTTTGGTGTTGCTCCGGCACCCCACTGGCTGAGGGCCAAGGGAGTGGCCATCTCCTGTCCTGCTCCTCAGATCTGCAGGTCACTAAGTAGAGGGAGCTTCCTAGGTCACTCACCCACTTGGACTTTCACGTCAAGTTTGAGTTGGGCCTGATCCACAGGTCGACTCTGAGCTTCAGGCTTCTTTTACTGAGAAATTAGGACTGGGCACAGTGAACCTGAAAGGGCTCACTGTTGTAGAGGCATGTGTCGACCACTTCCTTGATGCTACAGAGGGGTAAACTGAGGCACAAACCTCAGCTTGTTGTCAAATCTCAAGCCCAGACTCTTGGCTAATGGTATAGTGAGTCTGGGTTTTTTGTTTTTTTAATTAATGCATCGATTAAAAGCTGGTACAGCACATCATGATGATGGTGATTGTTATTATCATTATTGTAGGGTTGGTGAAATATGATGGGAGCCATTGACTGGCTCCGGCCACCTGCAAAGCATCCCTGGCTTTACCAGGTTGGGAACCTCTAGAGGGGGGCTGTATGGTCACAGTTCAGATGCAGTGCTGAGCTTCCTGCCCTGGGATTCACATGGCATCCTACCAGGAAGAAAGCATCAGTGGCCCTGGGGCTCATTAAGACTGCAAAGCCAGGCAGTTTGCCCAAGACCACATGATGAATGAGTACCTAGGCTGGGACTTGAACCTTATCTCCTGGTTGCAATCCCAGTGCTCTTTGCTCTGGACTGTGGTACCCTTCCCCCATGCATCATGGCCCCCAGGGGAAGAGAAGTAGAAAGAAAGTGAGAGGCTAAGGCCCAGAAACAAAGGGAACTCCTCACAGTGAGAGAAACGAGTGTTTGTGGACTGTCCTGAAACATCGGGAGATTTCAATATCATCAGCATGCAGACCTAGCCGGGTACACCCAGGCCCAACTATGGGATTATCTGACTCCTAAAGGGCATGGGCTTATGGGTTACAAAGAATCAAAAGGGGACAAAAAAGATAGCCAGGTAGTTAAAGAGCACTCGCTGCCCTTGCAGATGACCAGAGTTCAGTCCCTAGCACCTACATCAGAGAGCTCATGATGGCCTAGAACCATAGCTCCAGGAGATCTGACACCCTCTTCTGACCTCCACAGGCACTCACACACATGTACACATGCACATACACTCATAGACACATAAACATAAATAAAAATAAATATAGGAAATCAAACAGGGAATAGTTGTTCTTATTTGAAAAAAAAGAAAGAGAGAGAGAGAAAGAAAGAAAGAAAGAAAGAAAGAAAGAAAGAAAGAAAGAAAGAAAGAAAGAAAGAAAGAAAGAAAAGAAGAAGCTGGTGGACCACATTTGTCACACACTTTCCGTTACTGTAACAAATGCCTAAGATAATCAACTTGGAAACAGTCGAAAGGTTGGTTTGCCTCACAGTTTTAAAGGGTTCCGTCCCTGGACAGTTGGCCGCTTTGCTTTTGGGCCTGTGTTGAAGTCACTCATGGTATCAGGGAGCATTTGGTGGAGCGATAACCTCAGGGGATCAGAGAAAGGAGAAAAAGACCCACAGCACACAGCCCTCCCTACTCAAGGGCATACCTCTGAGGACCCAGATCATCCCACTTGGTCCTTCTCCGCAAGTTCCCACCACCTCCCAATAGTGACACTGACTGGTAACTGGGACTTTGGGGCACAATCCACATCCAAACTACATCACCCGATGCTCAAGACCTCGTATATAATGACAGAGTATATACATAGAACTTGCTCACATTCTTTTACCTACTTCAAATCAGCTCTAGATTTCTCAAAATACGTACTAGAAATAGCGTTTAAATCATTTGACACCACATTGTGGAGGAAACTACGAGAACAAGCCTGATCCTGTTCAGTACCAGTGCATTTTTCTTTTTCAGTGTTTCTGATCTGCACTTAGTTGAGTTCAAAGATGCAGAACCCATGGGTGCACAGGACCTCCTGTACTTGGAAAGAATGGAGCAGGAAACAGTTCATCACATCTCTTGGCCTCTACAGTAAGGAAAGAACAGAGGTGACACTCTGTCCTGCCAATTCAAAGTCTCCTCCATCCTCCTTCCCTTCCTCCCTTGTCCTTTCCTTCTTCTCCATGGCCATGAACCAAGTATGTATGCATTCCACAAGCACTGCACCTTCTGGTCAGGTCCCCAAGGGCCAGGAGCATAGTAGACCAAAGGGGTTTCCACCCTCTCAGAAATTGTCTGCTTGACAATATATTAGACACACACACACACACACACACACACACACACACACACACACACACACACACACACACAC